TCGGAGTCGAGGAAATTTGTTAAAATGTTTTTGGCTACGGCACCATTTTGGGAAAAAAGTTTATGAAGAAACACAAGATTCTAGATCAGAGATCCTAAACACCGATTAATTTTTAATAACTCAATCGTATCGGATCCTAACTCTTTGTGTCTAATGTATTATTAAACTTTAAATTATAAAGATTTTATCTCCGGAATCTAATAGTACCAATTTAGTATTTTGTTAAGCTTGTAGAACTTTTAGTACTTTTGTTAAAGCTGCTTTTTGCTAAATAGTACGTGACATTTTTTCCATTGCGAGGTTTTGAAATGAATTTTGTTTCACATGATACCTGCGATGCTACTGTATTATGGAATTTGATTCAATATTGAGTTGACTTTACACCGTGGAATAGAAAGGAACACTAGAAAAAATATTCAAAGTAAATAAATATGCGCACATAGAACTGGGCTTTGTCTTCAACAATTGACACTCAGCTAGCGAGCGACGAGAGCAAGCGACGTTCTCTCATTAGTTCATATGAACGTGAAAAAGAAAGATCTTTTAAATTCATAAAACATTTCAAGAAGTCGACTTAAAAAGTATAGCCATGTCAAGGTATGCAGTCGGTTTTACTTCGGCTTGGAATGTTCATTACGTTATATATTTTTTATAGAAGAGTCCCTTAGGTTCATAAATTATCCCTACTTCAGTAAAGTAATAATATGAAAAAGAATATGTAATATGTAGATTTTTGACAAACTGTTTTACTTATAAAAACGGTGCAAAATCTAATTGATGATCCAAGGATCGATTGCCTGGAATTACAGATTAAAAACTTCTTTATTTTCCGCCGTCGCCGTCCGCACGGGTTTAAAAAAAAATAGTAGCCAATGCGTTCTTATAGACTATGTTCTACATCCATGCCAAATTTCATCAAAATCCATTAAGCCGTTCCGGAGATACCTTTAAACAAACATCCATCCATCTAAACATACTCATTTATAGTATTAGTAACATTATATTTCCAGTTTGCAATAGATTTCGCAATACATCATTTACTCCCATCGGTATTTTTGATGAATAACAAGTCCATAGTTACAATAGTAGCTGATTAAAAGAAATTAAAATCAACGGAAATCCGCGAGAGTATATTACCACAGAAATAAAAATGAATCCGAGCGGGCAATTGAAAATGAAGCGCGCTGGTTGGAGACAGGTCTGTTTACCAGACAGACGTAGGGATTCAATAGCCGTTTACGGTGAGTAGGGTCGGATAGTGACGTCACCTATGGGATATAGCGAACGTAAGTTTCAGTTTCACGTTTTATAACGCTGACAGTAAAATTAAACTTTTATGTCACGCTCGAAGCAATAAAGGTAATGAAAAAAAAATTAAGTTCATATGATGAAGGTTTTTAATGATTTTCCTCGAAAATCCAAGGTGGATCATTCTTTTACATCGGAGTCGAAAATATTTATTTTATCTCAAAGAAAACAAAAAATTGTCTATTTTCTTTCTATAATTCAAACTGGAAAACAAACATTATAATAAATTTGAACGATTTAATAGTATTTATTGGTAGTTTAATAATCGCAAACAACATAATGATTTAAAAAAAATCTAACGATTTTTTCTTGAAAATGTGCAATTGAAAACAAACAATGCCCGATGAATAGAATCCAACACAAAAGCTGCAACGGTTGTTGTGCACTAAAAGATAAAATTATTTCCGTGCAATGACAAAAACCTTTTAATACGTCCGAGTGCTCTTTTATGTTAAAAAATTTAGTCCATTTCAATTTAACTTCAATCACCCTTTTGTTTTTTCACTATTAAACCTCTCTTTGTTTTATGATCCGCTTCTGAAAATATTAATCATATTCATGCGATACCCGAATGTGCAATGAATTTTCGATAAAGCAAATTGTGTAGGATTCCGTAATAGCGTCGTTGAATTTTAAAAAATCGCAATAGGTACCTAAATTTAATCACTGTACTGATATATTTCAGTTTAAAATGCAAATGAGCAAAAGGGTTGGAGACAGGCAGGCGACCGACCGTAAAAAATAAGCCAAAACCTTAAGGTATATAAAATCTTCAGCCCCAACTCCACATGAGTGAGATAAGGCCTCCAAGAATGCTGATGAGTAAAAATCCTTTCTTAGCTACGGTATAATGGTAGAAAAGTCTATGCCAAGATTCTTAGTCCAGTAGTTTGGGTAGCGCGATAATCAGTCTGTCAGTTTACGATAAGTTCCCGGTAAAAGGAGGGTTGGTCGCAGTAAAAAGTCTTGGTTGCGCAACATCCGAGAGTGGACAGGGGTTGCGAGTGCCGCCCAACTTTTTCGCCTCGCAAGAGACAAAGGAAAATATGGAGAACTGATCGCCAACCTTCGCTACTCGGAGAGGCACCTCAAGAAGAAGAAGTTTACGATAACGTTTTTGAAAAATCATCTTTTACGCAGACGATGTCCCGAGTACCTGGTATACTAATAGAAAGAAATTGATTCTAAAGTCTAATTTTATAAGAGGAAGACAATATTAATTAAATAAAAATGATGCAAACATTATGAAGTATCGTAATTAAAAAGTAAACGCCTAATTAAACTCGTTATTTTACAAGAGTCTGTGTTACGATGTTACTCAGACTGAAATTACAGAATATAAGTTAATATTTTGAAGTACTTTTCACGAAAAAAAAATATATTCTTGCTGTTTTCCTTTCGTGTTTTCGCTCTTCTAATAAATTATTTCAAGCCTCTCGAAACAAATACGTATGTACATTTTTAAAAATGTTTCATTTATTCATTTCACAAAAGGTTAATATAATTTGGCATTTGATGTGGCGGGTAACAAGAAAATGATACCTTGAATGCAAAGAAAATAAAGTAAAAAAAACTCCTTATAAATTAACCAAAAATGGTATAATTATGTACTTTTTCTTGTTTGTTCTTAGTATAACAATAGTATTAGTAGTAATTATCTTAATAAGGCTCTGATATGATATTCGGTTATATTTTTATAAGAACTAAGAGCCTTCAGATTTCCCCAGCGGTTGTCATGGACGATTGGAAAATCTTTTGAAGTTCCCGCGGGCATATGGGAGACTTTGATTTATAGGAAACCTTTCTTTGCAATATAATGATATTTTTATATACATCAAGGGACTGGCATACACTTTGATTTCTCGAGTACATGTTTTGGAAGCTCGTGCACGTGTTTTGTAGAAAATCTTACTATTGAGTTTTCACTGTCGAAAAAAAAAAGGTTTTGTTTTTCACTCAAAATAAACGCTCTTATTCTCAAAATAAACCTTATAAATTAAACTTAGGATACCTATAATGGATATTCCACAAAAGAAACAACAGTTTTGATTAGCATTCGAAATAACTTTATTTCTTATTAATCTCCAGAACGGTCGTATGGATCTCGCTGAAAATTTAAATAGATGTAGAAATAGTCTGGAAGAACACATAGGCTACTGATTTTTTTTTTATTCCGCGCGGAGTCCCGGGCGTCAGCTAGTATATTATTAAATTTATGAAGCTTTATATTTAGAATATTAAAGGGCAATGGCCGCCTCTATAAATAGGCAAGTAATAAGAAGAATAGGAAGCTTCTTTCTGGAATAACGTTAATCTTCTTTATGATCGCCCAATAAATATGATAAATAATTGTACAGTATAAAAGACGTCCGTAAAAAGTTAAGCGGCTTAATTAGAACAATACTCTTCTACCCTCACAACAGAATAACTCGGAAACAATGAAATTTCTCGTAAATAAGTAAATAATATTTTTATATCCAAACTACTAAGACTTTAATGCGAATAAAAATAGCTTAATTATTTAAAAAAATCAAATAACAAAATGTGTACAATATTTAAAATTAAATTAATACTGTCGTGTTTAAAATTTCACACCTTAATTAAGCACCTATAAATTCTCTATTCAACATTTCTCGCAAAATGAAATTCATGTGCACCAACGTTGAAAAGCTGAAACTTCGATAAAATTCCACAAGTGTAACACGATCGCGATACATTTACGTGGAATTCAACGTGAAAACGCAGCCGGAATTTTGCCGATGCAATGTAAGCCGAACAAGTGAAGAATTTCTAACTAAAGTCGGTAGCACACAGCCGCGAAAGCGAATCGATTGTGAAGCGAAACAAAAGCTGATACGAAATTTCATTTCATTTGGCTCGTCTTGAATAACCGTTTCGCAGACTTCACTAAGGGAAACTGAATGCAACATGAAGCAATCTCCATGTTAAATTCGTTTTTGCGTCTCTTTGTTACTGATGACGCTTTCCCTCGCTTTAGCTGTATGCAAAGGGCTATTTCGGTTACATCATACTAACTACTATGGCTCTTGTATATTCGCTTGTGTTAATAAAAGGTAGCAAAAATAAAAGCAAATAAAAATGTTTTCAATAATTCATTCAATAGTTTCAAAATTATTTTGTAATTAATAATATTTACGTATTACAGGTATGTAAAAGAGCAAAGGCAATTCGTCAGGCAGGTCGTTCTTTAGAAATTTAATAAGGCATTTGAGGTTCATATTGTGAACGCCAGGAACAACGCCGATGCTACATCAAAGTTAGTTTCCTTTACGATGAAGGCGGGAACCGTGCCTGAGAAATAGTTAAGTGCCGCGGTGTCGCGTCTCTGTAATTTCCGTGCAACTATGCGATGGAAACTAGATAGATTTTAGCGACAGGTATTCGTATAGGTAAAATATTTGAAACTGTTCGATGTGCTTTATGTTTGAAAATTACACGTTACGCAAAATGTCAAGGGTTGTAGATTTTCTTCATAAGTTATTTCTATACTGGAAGATATAGACATAATATAGGACCTTAATCATGTTCAAACTTTCTTACATAAAACCTTCCAATCAAAATTTTCAAGAATAGTGTTAATTTTTCAACAGACTTAAGATACTTTTTGTTAATTTTTTTGTACTTTTCGTGTCTTAGTAAGTCTCCAACTCGTAATATAAAAAAAAACTTACAGTTCATCCCGATGTCATGGTAGGTGATGATAGCGGGCTTGGAGCGGTCTCCCTGCACAGCCACCAGTATATCGCCGCGGTCGGTGCGCACGCGCACCTCGACGCACCCGCCCTCGCCGCTGAAGCGACGCGCGCTCGGGAACTGCAGCTGGATGTTCTTCAGCTCGATGTCGTCCATGCTGTAGAAATATATCACCTTAATATAGGAGAAATCAAATATCTTAGCAGCTCGAAACATCGTACGAGTAGCTGCTCAGAAAATCCCACACAAAAGGTACGACGGGTTATAAAGAAATACGCGAGGCGCTCAACTTGTTAATAATTGCTTGTACAATAATTAATTTTACTTCTTACTACCATTATAACTACGAATGTTTGGATGGATGGATGGAGATTTGTCCGAATGTATCTCCAGATCGACTCAACGGATCTCAACGAAATCTGTCATAGATTTAGAACATAGTCTGGAAGAACACAAAGACAACTTATTAAGTTTTTTTTAAATCCGCGCGGACGGAGTCATTGGCAAACTTTGTGTATTATAAATGTGGTACTTATTGAAATACGTTTATCGTTATACCATAATAAGGATTAAGTGTATCACTGACATATTGTACGAAAATAAAAAAAGAAATGAAACGCCTAATCTGGCGAATCCGAGAGAAATACAAGCGAAATGTTTGAGGTAAATATTTTCTTCAGAAAAGAATTTTCGTTTATATTTTATATGAAGTATGTAATCCTTTCAGTGTGGTATATTAATATTCACAAATTCTTATTTATAACTCTTCAGTTACGAATGTTAATCTATCTATATATAAAAAATCAATTGCTGTTCTTTAGTCTCGCTAAAACTCGAGAAAGGCTAAACGGATTTATCTTATCTTGGTCTTGAAATGTTCGTGAAGGTCTAGGGAAGGTTTAAAAGGTGAGAAAAATTCAAATAATTGGGAACTAATTAAGTTTTTTATTCCACACGGTCAGAGTCACGGGCGACAGATAGTATAATAAAAAAATATTTTCCTCTTTAGATTAAACGTATCAACAAAATGTTAAATTTTATCCGATGTCGATTTAATTTAGCAGTATAAAGGAGATCGTTTTAGATAACAAAAGTCCACAGATTTACCTCAAACAGGGGTAGTGTTCACGTTCAGATAGCCGCGTTAAATCCGACAAGCTGAAGCCTCAAAATTGCACTATACCAGAGCTTACTACAGTCGTTGAGTGCAGTTAAAATAACAAATCCATTTCAGTAGCTATTTATTGTAAAACGATGTAATCTCTCAGTTTTAACATTGAACTAAAATTGTTAAATGAAATCCATGCTATAAGTTTAAATATCGATTTATGTAAGTTATGTTTATGAAAAAAAAATGTAATGATTAGCCTATGTGTTCTTCCAGAGTATGTTTTACATCTGTGCAAATTTTCATCAAGATCCGTTGAACCGTTCCGGAGATACCTTCAAACATTCACCCATCAGTCCATCCATCCATCTAAACATTCGCATTTAAATATTAGGTTTCCACTGTCTAAACAAATGTCCAAAACATGTTTTCTGTATTTCAAAGAATTTGATCTTCTAATAGTTCAAGCAATAGGGTATAGAACTTGAGCTTGTAGTTTACTTAGTGAAAAATACTTTAAAAGGATGAAAACCAATCCTAAAATACCTTTAATATTTAAATAACTAAATAAAGAGTCGTGTAATTTTCCCTCATATTTTTTTAAACTAACAAAAAGTTTAATTAAAACTTTCAACGTAAGTTTATGTTATTTTTAATTAAAAAGTGTATCTAGTGCACTGAATTTCCTTTGAAGGTATATCAAAGATTTAATTTAGAGTGAAATTTTCACAGACCAACAAGAAATTGGATGCGCTGTCGTTTGCGTCTTTGAAAGTGTATTTGAGGACGTCGGTTTTCTATTAACGTCCCACAAAGTTAAATAAACTGATAGAAAGAAAAAATATACATTAAATATACGAACATTTTCTCTATTTTTTATTCATTCAATAACTCATCGTCTGTCATCATCATCAGCTCACTATACATCCCCACCGAGGGGCTCGGAGCCTACCCTAAGTTAAGGGTGATTAGGCCATAGTCAACCACGCTGGCCAAGTGCGGGTTGGTTGACTTCACACATAACTTTGAATTTCTACTCAGATATGTGCAGGTTGCATCATCATGTTTTCCTTCACCGTAAGAACGACGGATAAATGTACATAGGTAAATCGGAAATCGAAAAACACATTGGTACATGGCGGGATTCGAACCCAGCACCTGCAGATTGCAAATCAAGTGCTTGACCCCTGAGCCACCGACGCTCCTATCGCTTTTCATCATTTTTATATGAATAAAATCTAATAACTGTATGTTTACCTTCGATATGAACGTACAGTCAGCGTCATATAGATCGTAACAGACAAGATATGCAAATATATAGGTACATCAAAAGTAATCAATTATATCGGTACAACAAAAGTACTCAAAATAATAGATACATTCACCCTGCTCAAATACATCGGTACATACACAGCGTCAAATATATGAGTACATGCAAGATGCTCATAAATATCGTAGCAGCCACAGCGTCATAAGTAACGAAGCAGTCAAGGTGCGCAAAAATATCGGTACATTTGACAAAATTGAACTCTATCTCTATATACTTGTGATACAATTTGGAATAAACTACTTCTGTTACATTCATTTGACACTTTGCATTAAAAATTTTTCAAAATTTACTAAAAGTGTTCGACGCGGATGACAAATATTCGGTAGATAAAACCAACATCAAATTTAAGTTTGTCATCATATATGCTAGTTTGGTCTCGTGGCCTTACCGTTCGCCGCCGTTGGTACGTAAGTTCGGCGGTTCAAATCCCAAGCAACTATTTTTTTTTGTTATTTTAACTTTTTAATTTATATCTTGTCTGTTACGATCTATATGACGCTGACTGTACATAAAACTGTGAACAACAATTATTTCGGGTTTTAAAAACTTAAAAATATAGAAAGTATTTGTTTTTAGTGCACCTCTTTGCACTAAGCTGTGATATTATTATTACTTTTTTTTATTGCAACCTATGCTGAGTTTAGCTACATACACATAAAAGACTCATTCGTAAAATGTTATCAAATTTTTGGAAGCAAAAAATCTACAGAAGCTACTATTCAAGAACATCCTAGGCTTAAAGGTTATTTTTTTATCCGTTACAAAAAAAAAGACGAAAAATTCCATTCTTATATTTCGTATTCTTTAAAAATGCATTTCCTTCAGTGAAGAAATATTATATCAAAGTTTTAAAACCTTGTTCAAAGATAGGTTCAAATACTTTTTCGTCATTACCCGTCGGAGGATGCATTATCTTCTTCTTTTGTTAGCTTCACGAATAGATTCATATGACTGGGTATTATATTTAATCCATTGTTATACTGACTGAATATGAACGCTTAAAGTGCACTTTTTATAAAATAAGGAGGCAAACGAGCAGCGGGAAAGTATTCACCGACGGCCATGGATATCTGCAATACCAGAGAAACCGCAGATGCGTATGTTCGAAAAGATATATTTATGTTTGAATTTTCCTATAAAATGCATAAAAAATATAGATATAAGAAGATATATCCAGGACAACTGCATAGAACTCGGTGTAATGTAGAACATATCCTGAGAGAACAAGAGGTACTAAGTTTTTTTAATTCCACGGACGAAGTAGGAGACAACTAGTCTTGTAATAAATAGAAGTGAGAAAGGAAATGATCCTCCCATGGTTATGTTGCGTCGAATTAATATGCTTGAATAAAAAAAAAAACTTTGAATACCAACGAATAAATACAGTGTAACAATAACAGTTAACTAATTTTCAGTTCAAACGTAACTCAATTATGCTGCTCTGATTTCGATATGTTGTTTGCTATTTGAAACAAAATGCTTACGTTGTGCAAACGATAATTGCACATGCAGTAAATTATAAGCCACACTAAACGACCAGACAAACTGAAAAATGTGTATTGTTTTGTTTATTTATTTGTATAAATGAAAGTCAATATTAACAATTAGATTTTTTTTTTATAACTTTTAATTAAAACTAGTTGTCGCCCGCGACTTTGCCCGCGTGGATATATAAAAAAACTTACTTAGTGTAGCCCACCCATCCATCCAGTTCTTGAGTTATAAATTGTGTAACTAACTCGACTTCCTTTTATATATATAGATGAGATTTTGGAGAAAGTAGTATAATATTAGTGATTAAAAAATAATTGCCAATGAAATTCACAATCTTCCTAATATTATGAATGTGAATATTTAGATGGATGGATGGATGTTAGACTGAGTCTCCGGAATAGCTCATCGGATCCTGATATAGTTTGGTATAGATGTACCATATTATCTAAAAGAACACAAAGGCTACTAATTAAGTTTTTTCTAATTATCTGCGGACAGAGTCGCGGGTAAAAACTAGTCTCAAATAATCTTTAAAGTAGACATTATTGATATCCTCCTGGTAATCAAAGATTATAACGGAAGACATTTATGAGACAAAAGTTTATAACTTATAATAAAACGTGAAAACTTCGCGACGATGTCACATTAGTAACAAAAAAAATGTAAACGTACCAAGATCAAGATGCTTATGTTCTTTACTGGCGACCTATATTCGGTCCAGCTGTTTGTAGTAGCCTGGCTCATTCATTAACAAACTCAAGTCTCCGACTATGAATAGAGATTGCATACTCTTGTACTACTTCAAACTATAATATGTATAAGAAAACTTGACTATCTCAAGCTGTATGACATTTTTTATTCGAAATATTTAATTTACATTATAAAAATATTCGCGACACAAGTTTCTTACATATATGTAAATCAACAAAATGATATAATAGTTTAAAAACCTCAAATTTAAACAAATTAAAGTTAGGTGCGTCAATAAATCTTACTCCTTACTAATATTATAAATGCGAAAGTTTAGATCGACGGATAAATGGATCGATGTTTGTTAGGAGTTATCTCCGAAAATGCTGAACCGATCGTGATGAAATTTGGTAATGACGTAGAACATAGTCTGGAAAAACACATAGTAATATTTAACATCGTTGATTGAAAGAGTATTAAAAGAATCTAATCGAGTTCATTATTTGAAGGGCGGACGTTGACAGTATCCAGTCTAAACTAAATATAATCTGTGCTAATAGGCTTAAACTCTTGAACCGTTCATGAAGATACAATTAACGCATTGTACTCGGGTAGGGTTAAGGCTTTAAGTTTGATGTCCTTACGAATAAGGTCGTATTGTTTGACGTTTTGGTGTAGCTGTGGCCCGTTTTGGCCGGGATTCTGAATCGACCGCTCTTGCTGGCAAACGGCCAGGACGGGGTCGGGGCCGACGGCGCAAGTTACTTTCAATTTGTGAACGTACCAAGCACCAACTGTTATATATTTTTAATACATGCAATCGAATAAAGTACCCCTTGTGAGGTACACTTTATAATGAAGACTGAATTTGAAGTAATTCCGATGTAGTTAAACATTGGTGTATTAACTTTACGGTTACAGTTACTTGTTCCAATCCTCTCCCAAACGTAATGAACAATTTAATTCCCTTGTTCTGAACATGAAATCTTCGACTAAGTAATGGAGATTAGTCGCAAGTCTAGACTTCCGAAAGTATATGTACAGAAACGCCAGTCACAATTTTCAATGCGTTGGATGAAAATTCTTCAACCGACAGATCTTTTACCAAGTGCAGTGAAGTATGTTAGATCCTACATGAACATACTCTCATCCCTTTTATTATTCTTGTAAAAAAGTGAGATAACAATATAATTTTGTACAACTGTTTTAGACAGTGGAAAATTCATCTTTACAGAATTTAAAGTCTGCGTAACAAACGCTAATTACTTTGTATTTGCTTTACTTATTTTGTTTTTGACGTCTTGACATGACAAGGTGTTAAAATGATGAAGGTTATTAAATTAATTTGTATTTTGTTTAAATGTTTGTAACCAGGACTGAATACAAGAGTCTTTAGATCTTAAAACTGGTGGGTAGTAACATATTTTTTTTTATATCAAAAGGTGGCAAACGAGCGAGCTGCCACCTGAAATCGCTGAAATAGCGAAGTGACCGTTGCCCATAGACATACGCAATTGCATATGCGTTGCCTACCTTTAATCGACGGAGAAGAGGATGCACAGAATGAAAATATTTTCCCCTTCCATGCATCCTCTCATCCGGAAAGTCCATTTCCACTTCCCATCCTTTCCTTATAAGAAAAAGGGTGGGAAGGGAAAGAGGACTAAATTAGGCCTCCGGGACGCACACACATCAGACGAAACGCGGAATTGCTTCCACTTGACGCCTGTCTTCTGTGTGGTCGTGGTATTTCACCGGGCGAGCCGGGCCGATTCGTGCGAAGATGTTAAAGCGGGCTCTGCCACTGTTAAATATTTTTTTTCATAATAATACAAATTACGATTTTAATAAAATAAATAAAAATCTCAAGTATCATTTTAGTTGTGGAAAACCTGGCCATAAACATTGATCTGTTTATAATCTGTAATTTAAAAAAAAAGAGCCATTTTATTTTATAATTACGTGGCAATATTTAAAACGCATACTGACAAGGTTTACTACTCAACCAAGCTAGGTTAGTACTAATTACATTAGCTTATCCTGTATATCTATACTATCATTCGTTCTACATAACAGAGATTGTGACATGTGCTCAAATGTGTGTCCAATCACATGTCATAGTAGCAGAGTAGTGGACACGAGGTTAGGGTAGGATTGGCAGAGGAAGGATGTTAGTTGATTGGGTATCGATAATTAATTTATTAGTTACCGATTAAATGGTTACTATAAATAGTATTAAACCTATTGAGTTCCCGTTGGTCCAATCGTTCCCATTGGGCCATGGAATCCATAGAATCAATCGGCCTAAAAGGAGTTATGGAACATTAAGGTAAAAAAAATATAAACAGAATGAAATAGTCTATAAAATGGGTGTTGTAACTTGAAGGTGAGAATCAAATAACCTCAAGTCTATTGATCATATTTCAACGTATATTTATTACGATTACGTGGGCAATTATTTTATGCAGTATATTTACTGTACTTACATAAATATAATTGTAAATAAAAAAATTACATAGCCAAAGACTTATACTTGATATCTTGATTGTTACTACTTAAGCATCAAAGCAAACGAAATAAGTAACTAGCTGTCGCCCGCAATTCCATTCGCGTGGAATTTAAAAACAAAACTATAGAGATGTGTTCAAACTATGTTTTATGTTTATACCAAATTTCACATTTATATTAGTAAGATAACAATTTTGTGACATATCTTTTAAGATATATTTGTTGTGTCTTCTTATTCTATCTTTGTTGTGCCATCACTTTAGTATTTCAAAGTGACGAAAACGAGAAGTTTACTTTGTAAAAAGATATCTTTGTTCGCTGTACTTTATTTATTTCTAGTTGTACTTTCAAAGAATGCAATTTCGAGGTGACACCAAAGGACTTTGCTACACAATGTTTTAGATGGTTGTGTGAACAAATAGAATACACTTTCAAAATAATATTTTTCACATTTTGTTATGTAATTACTATATACTTCTTTCTTTCTTCCTTTGCAAATAAAGATGTTCTTTGGCAGAAAGAATTAGATAAGAAAATTATTTTTTTTAGCACGTAGCCGTAAATGTTTGCTCTTATAAGACTGCTGCACTTTAAGAAAACTTACTAATATTATAAATACGAATGTTTAGATGGATGGAAGGTCTCCAAAACGGCTGAACGGATCTCGATGAAATTTGGCATACATATAGAACATAGTCTGGTAAAACACATAGGCTACTGATTATGTTTTTTTTAATTCCTCGCGGACGGAATCGCGGGCGAGAGCTAGTCATTTACTATCGACGAAAAAATAAAACTCTCTTTGTTATTTGGTCGTGTTAACTGTCGCGATACGACGCCATTATTCTATTAAAGACCCAATTCATACAATGACCCAAGCTTACAGCGCACAAATGTTCAACGTACATTGCGGCCCTAACTATATCCATCGCGTTTAGTACTACTATTACGTCATACGTGGTAAAAACAAAGACCCAGTTAAAGTCAATGTAACCTAAATATGTCAATATTGTAGAATGAGGACTACGCTTACTAAATAAAATAACTGCTTACATTTGTTATGTTTCTTGACAGCCCTAAATCATATTCTTATAGACGTATGAATAATAAATCTTTCCAGTTAAAAACTGCAATTTAATGTATTCACATAATATTAGCACATTGCATCTCTTGTACATACATTCGAAATTAGTCTGATAGAAGTACTATAACAAAGGTGTAATTTTTATTTCGCAGATATTTTGAATCACACATGATCAGAAATTGAACAGCTGCAAAAGTATGAACATAGCAGCGAATGAGATTGAAATGATTACGTTTCCTTTAAGTACTCGTGCTTGTAACTGACTTCTCTACTAAGAGGTTCGCCGTCATTTAGTGGTCCCCCGCAACGTTGACCTAACCGTCGATAAATCTAGTACAAGGCCTGCCTCAGCTGACATCCTGTATGCATCTATCTACAAAAACTTCTAGCTCTATGTATCTTGTCTTAGAATATGTAACTTTACTTATGGAAAGAATCTCTTAATAATTAAGAACTATCAGCGTATTATTATAAAAAGAGCGTACTCGTTAGGTGAACGTACTGTGCGTCCTGACGCTTTATGATATAAAAAAGACCGGAGATCCAATTAAACGGTCGGTCTATTTTAGTTGCCATGAATGAGGACGAATCTGCATCCCGTTTATTTGTCTATAATAATTGTTACTTACTTTTATCGTAACACGAAATTCGAAAAATATCTCTATGACTTAATTTCTTCCTTCGCTCTTACATCTTTTTAGCCTTTATTCTCATTACTTTCTTGTTCATTAGCCCATCTAGCGATGAATGACCAAGTAGTAATGATAATAAAAATGGCTTTTAAGAGTAATAAGGTTGATTTATATTGCGTGTAATAACATTTATCATGTCAAATTATTGCGTACTAGAGGTCTCCCCCGACTTCATCAGCGCAAAATTAAAAAAAGTAGCCTATAATATGCCCGCCTGCATCAGCTGCTGTAAAAATGGGTTAAATCGTTCCGGAGATTACCTCGACCAAGCGAGGCAGACAGACAGGCACAAGAATTGCCAAAAAAAATGGTTTTTCGTTATCAGCAAATACATATTTTGTACGAAATAAATTTGTTTTCTCGATAGTACATACTGACACTCTTTTTTATATGTATCGATATATTAAGATACCTTTGAAAAATGCTGCTTATATGTGTCAAAGACAACACGTCAGCTAAAGTAACACAATGCTGTGTTAGCAATCAATTTAATTTACGCAACCGCCAACAGGGCGTGGCGGAAAAAAGACAAACAGATTTTTTTTTGTAATAAATGGAAATTATATTCTGCTTTGACATTAATAAAATAATATAAACCATAAAATAAAAATATATTTTATTAAGTTTTCTTTTCAATAAATGAAAAAAATCTACGATTAAAATTGCCGTACGTTCAATTTTTCAGTTTTTTTTTTACAATTACCTAAGCTGTTTTTTAAGTTTTTTTTTAAATCTGCTTAGGTTCATCATCCTCTTACTACATTTATTTAATAAAAGTCGGGATTTTTTAAATATTTTTTTTTATTTTTTTTAGGATAGTGTAATTTTTTTACCAGAAGTGACTTCTTTAGTAAAGAAAACATCTTTAGCATTTTTATTCAATATATGCTTCATTCAAAGACTAAAAATTATTTAAAAGTAAAATAAGTATTTAAATTATTAAAAATAACTTATCAATAAAAAAAACTGCCATAAAAAATATTTTTTTATGTAGCATTAACAATTAATTACATTATTTGTCTTTTTTTATGTAAAAATGTTCTTTTTTCTTAGTTCTCCTTACCTGAGTAGGGCTGTTTCTTCAGCATTCAGAGAAGGCATCTTCAAGTGATTGTTCTCTGCGTCCAAGATTTGATTTCTGTAATAGTGCAAAATACTTAGCATACTTTTATTGGCCCATCTACTCAATTATAATTGCAATTGTGCAATCAAAATCGCTTCAAAAGAAATCTTATTTTAAAACATTTATATTAAATATTTCATCCAAAATTATATATAAATAACATCTAAAGAGTTAATATAAGTGCAAATTATATAAACTAAATAGCAAGCCAGTCAATATATAATAAAATAAAACAAAAATTAAGCAAAGCCTAGCTCAAAGCTAGCAATTCACTTACTCCGTTAATGGTTCGTTCATTTCACAATGTTTTCTATACAGTAACGGTCCTAACTTCCTTGCAGCTCCACCAAGATGAAGAATTTTCTTATAACCCCCCTTATTGTTAGGAAGAGTTGTATCATTGTACACCTTGCCCAAAGCAGTGTACGAACTGCCATTCAGCTGGCCGCGATGCATGCTAACTCAACATTAAAACAGAATAAAATAAGCCTCAAAAAAACCAAGCAGACAGTTAATGCCAGTTCCATGCAAAGACAGAAAAAAGAAAATAAAAATTAAAGCATTTAAATTAATTACAAAAGTTATTGCTCTAGTTTTGAAGTTACGAAACTATTGTGAACTTCGCACTTTTAAAGCAGCGTGTAAAAAGTTATAAAAAAATATATAAAAGACAAACTAATATTTTTTTTTAATCTTACCTTAGTTGGGAAGTTCCCGTGACTTTTCTTTCAGCGGGCAAGAAGTATCTTATGCGAACACGATTCGAAAATTCACTAAGTGAGTGTAGTAGAAGTCGACTATTTCATGTGGCGACGACTGTTACTCTAGACTGCTGTCCTCGCAGTGCAGACTTTGAAGCAATATCGCAGCTCACTTCTCGCTGATCTGACGACGCATGCGTACCCATTACCCACGAACACGTCAATTATTCAATCGAAAGCCCGGGAAGTTATGAAGACATGAATTCACTAACATTTTAAGAAATTTTGATTTGAGTATACCTAAGATTTAAAAATGAAAAGACTCAATTTAGATCGATTAAATAATCACATAGTGTCAGTAAATAGTTTTCAGATAAAATTTGTAACTAATTAATGTAATGTTCCTTCAGAAAACTCTTAAAAAATAATTTATTACTACCTAAAAATTAAAATAAACACCCAATGTCATGTTGAAATGTTTACTAACAATTTAACAGAGTTGCCAGTTGCCAAAGCTGTCAAATTATGGACCAAATATTATAATTTTAGATTAAGTAAAACAATTAAAAAAACTGGGCAGTTGGAGAACATGTCTTCAAAATATAAATAAATGGTAGGTTACTTATAAAAGCAACACTTTTGTTCTTCTAAAAATTTTTGGTAAAATCGTTTGTGGAATTAATTCAAATAAGGAAATTATTTAAAATCCTATAGTACGAGAAGCGATTAAAATAAAGTTTTTAACTTAATTTATGAATTAATTCAGAACATCTATAACACTGATAAATATACCTTTTGCCCGCGACTTCGTCTGCGCAAAATGAAATAAGGGCGAAAAATCTCTTGTACTCGAGAATATGTTTTATATCTATGTCGAATTTCAATAGCATGTTGTGTTGACTCACTACGGAGTTGTCGAGTAAATATGTATAAATCAAATGTATCCCACGAGAATCGTACACATTTCGGGGATCAATGTTTTCTTCGAGACTGTATTACATCTATACCAAATTTCATCGAGATAGGTTAAATCGTTCTGGAGATACCTTCTAACACACATCCATCTATCTTATCTTATATAAATATTCGCATTTACAATATAAGTTAGATTCATGCCAGTTAAATATCAAGAAGAGATTCTGCTTGAAAATACCGCCATCTATTAAAATTTTTTGTGAACCTTCCTAAAATGAAGTTTTGAGAGTTTTACAAAACTGCTTCATCTTACTGCTAATAGATGGCGCTATACTGTATTCCATTAATAATTTTTTAAAATTCATCCATGTAAAAATTTAACTATTTAACCAATTACATAAATTATTTTATAAACCAAATAATTATTAGAAAATAATTAAAACAATTAAAAAAAAGTGTCATGAGTTTAATTTGCTGTTTGATCCGTTCCATTAATATTTAATAATATTCTCCTTAAATATATCCAAATTATTATAAATACGTTTAACAAATATAAGTACATTAATACATACCGCCTGTTTTAGTGTACTTACGAATCATTAAACTAACTGCGTCAGAGAATCCCGAACTATAGCTACGAAGTTTTATAGTGCAATGGCTTCAACTCTAAATAATGCAACTAACATTAGGACGTTCGGAGTTCACGTTCGTGTCACCGTCATATAATGAATTTCGTTGGTTTGTAGACATAATCTCACTGCATTTGCACTAGATAAATTTTATTTCTGTAAAGTTTTTTTTAAATAATGCCTTAATTATTTGGAACAGATTAATTAAGACTTAGATAAGGTGTGTTGGACATACTATTTATTACAAAATAAGTATTTTAAATCTATCATTTCCCTATTCTTATCTCGTTTACGTATTTACCTTTCTTCTTTCAGATCGATGTATCTTCCGTCGTGTCTTAGGTGTGTTTTTTTAACGACCCACCTGCAAGCACTACGGTCCCAACTTTTTTATTATGTTTTAAACCCAATAGAAGAATAGCAGATTTTTACATATTACGTCTCTGACGTTAACAAAATGACTGTGGCATATGCACTAATCGTGGAGCACATGTAGAAAGTCTAACGTCGCGTCGCGTCGGGGCAGTTGAAAACCACAATTTAGGTCATCCATGTTAGGAACTATGGATAAATTATTAATTTGTGGACTTTATATGAATATTTACTTGATCATTGCGACTCGGAACCAATTGAATATATTTATACCTTACCAGTATTTTTTAAATTCCGCCGGTGACTATGTCCGAATTAAAAAAAAACTTAATGAGTAGCCTATGTGTTCTTCCAGAATAGGTTCTACATCTGTGCAAAATTTCATGAAGATACGTCGAGTCGTTCCGGAGATACCTTCAGAGAAATATCCATCCATCCATAAGATAACCAGCTGTCGCCCGCGAATCCGTCCGCGCGGGATTAAAAATATAGATGTTGGCTAATTCTCAGACCTACTCAATATGCTCACAAAATTTCATGAGAATCGGTCAAGCCGTTTCGGAGGAGTATGGGAACGAAAATTGTGACACGAGAATTTTATATATAAGATAATAAAATTAAAACGTATAAGTTTTTTTTTCATAATGTAAAGAATTTTTTTTTATGATTAAACATTGTAAGTTATGTTTCTCAGTAACTCGAGCAGGATATTCATCTGATAAGTAATCACAATAAGGCTTTGTTGACTACCATGGTGAAAACAATAGTGTAACCAATTTGTTTATAAATATTAAGAAAATTGCAGTGTCTGTATGTTATATCGAAGAAAAAGAATATATCGTACACATGTTTTTTTTTGCGTAGTTGATAACCGAAAAAACATTTTTTTTGTATAATTGTCTGTCCTCCTGTTTGTCAGTCTGTATGCCTGCTCTCAAGGCCACGTTCCAAGGCAAGATTTTATTGCGTAGTTGATAAACGAAATAACATTTTTTTTATTATTCTCTGTATGTCAGTCCGTAAGTCTGCGTTCCAAGGCATCGTTTGTTCCAGGTAAACTTCTGATTATCTGGACCGATTATGTCAAGACTTGGGGCATAATATAGGCTACTTTTTTTAAATACTTTTTACAGCAATGATAGAACATAAGATGTCAAAAAAGATTATAAATCTGAATTTATAGTGGGAGACAAAAACCGTACCACGGAAGCATGGAAAAATGACCTTGCTGTTTGGTGATACTATTTTATTATGTCACGTCATACTCAAGAAGGGCAGCATTAATATTCATTAAATTAAAAGCACTCGAACCCCACATGTATATATCTATATTTTATGAATGTAGAAGAAGCAAGATAGGTGTCTGGACCGCGACAAAAGGAGAATCGTAGTAACATTGATAACACCTCATTGGATAAATAACTAATGGTCTGTCTGTCTGTATGTCTGTCATAAACTTAAAAGGTAAGTTACTACGCCTTATTTTATCATGCAAATTAAACGTCGTATCTCGGTACTAAAAACAAATGAGGAAAAACATTCAATATTAGACAAGGTACTAGAAAAACAACAAAATATAACTTGATGATATGAGGTTTGATAGATTGTTTTTATAAACAAATTGTGAAATAGTATATAAAAAAATATCGACTCGTATCTGAATTATATATAAACCTTTGAATTAATTACAGACCTGTTATAACGTTCTTGAACTTTGATTCATAGAGAATTTACAAACACGACTACTTTAGTTTGATTTCTTCATAACATTATTAAATTTAAAAATGAAAACATATTCGTTTTTTAAACAAATAACCCTAATTATATATATCTCATCATTGCAGTTTAAGCCCGTTTTTTTATCAATGACGTGCTAGTTTTTTCTCGCGGATCCGTGCGCAATTTAAAAAGTAAAAAGTGTATGTTTTCTTCCAGACTGCATTTAGATCAGTAGATCCATCCATACATACATAAACTTTCGTGTATCTAATATTAGTAAGATCAATAATATCAAGGTCAAGAAAGATGATAAAGAAAATTTTTCACGTCTTAAATAATAAATCAATGATTTAAACTTTAACTAACCTTTAACTGACTACAAAGAATCCATCAATAAAAGGCTTAATCATTTTTAATTATAATTTTTAAGTTTACTTACTAAATATAAGACGGGACGAAGTCATGTGAAGCCTCTCCAACTTTTTTGAAGCGTCCTGATATATACGAAGCGACAAATCTACGATCACAGGTGAAAGTAACACTAGTAGCTTGAGACGAAACTTCATCCCCAACGAAGCCGAAGTTATCCATTTTTAAATTATAGGCCGCGGAAACGTCCACTCGATAGTAATACTTGTAAGCATAGAGCGCGGCAAACGACTGAATTATTTCTATGACCATATAACGTACGCGGGCGCGGTGCATTGTTAATTCAAAGTTCCGAAGCAACTAAAAGGCCTTTTATTCAACATGTTATTAACTTGTGTACATAGTGGATTGGCACTAATTTTATGTATTTATGAATGCATTTATGCAACTAAAATATTTGTGAAAAAAGTAGAATATACTCGACAATGAAGCTTTCTTTAATCCAGTCTCTAACATATAGCTAATTTCGATAGCTTATATTTCTTATTCATTTATTAACCTTATTCTCAATATTTTATTTCTTAATATTATATTAAAAATTGAGCACCACCGGCTGCGGAGTCCCATGACTCAAACAATCAATGGTCAAGGCTGCAGAGACAGGAACCTTCTCACGATGCGTGCGGTTTCTAGGATAACTGCCTTTTGTATTGGGCCCTTAACCCAACTGTTTAGTGAGCTTCTTGAGATGTTGGTCGAAGCTCTTCGCTATTAGTCCATTCACCGGTACGACTATCAGAATAATGGTAGTCGATTTCGATAGCTATAATATTACAGAATTAGATTGTTTTTAAATGAAATGGATTTTTTTAAGTCGCATTTTTCCTTTCCATTTTATCCCTTTTCGCGTATACAAATTTTTTTTCGAAATATGTAAATATACACCTATCGTGGTCAGGTACATTTGACCTAATGTTACACGACCTACTAAGGGCTAAGGCACCCAACATCGAGGAGTAAAGTGATTGAAGCCTACACTTCAGCCCGCACTGGATTACGGATGATGTCCAAGTTAAACAGCGAGTGAAATGAAACCATAAAAAACTGTGCTATTGTTTACAATTAATTATAGGGGGAAATCAATATTCGATATCGCACAATTTCTGATTATCCGCGGTATTTTACAAATGTTATAATTAGTATGGTTCTAAAGATCGCAACAACTTTAGTATGATCTATTGTTTAGAAAGGCATTTAATTATTTATGCACGTACTTTTATAATTAAAGTAATTTATTGATTGTGTTTTTGTTTAAATAATTCTGTTAACGCTTTACAAAAATAATAAAAAAAATTATTTTAAGGTTATTTTTGTCTATGTAAATGAAGACAGAAATATGTTACTAATACAATCTGTGTTGCCAGACGTATGGGTCTGGGAAGAAGTTTTTTTT